TCTTATGCGCTTTATTTTATTCCCAATACGTTTTTAACGGATGGACTGAAGAAGGAATTTCAGCGGAGGCGGACACTACGTTTAGCACAGCGTCTTATTTGTATTGTGGACGACGAAGGAAGATTAGAAGCCGTCTTGCCTGCGATACGTGACGCCGTTTCTACACGAATGGGACCGAAGTTGATGTCAATTGTGGCCCAACAATACATCGCTGCTGCCCGTCAGCACCTGTCTGGCAGTTTATTTCTTCGGCAATTAGATATATTTGCAACGTCTAAATGGTCGAGACTTGTACAAATGGCAGATGTAACCGCAGTGGGGATACCAGCGGCGCTTAAAGCGGCACGAAGTACCTTGAAGGAAGATGATCAAGTAGATATTTTAGTGACACTGTGTGAGGGGGATGTGCAGCGGACCGTTTTGCGTGCATCGCGTCTTATTTTGTATGATACCTCGGTTACATCGGAGAAGAGGAGGAAACGAGCCGAAAATCTGTCGATACTAGGGAAAATGGTGGAGGGAGTCTGCCGCATGGCTCGCTCAAGTGAATGAAATGTCAAAAAAATCATTGCCTTTTTTTTTCTTTTTGTTACTTGTTTTGGTTTTTTAACCATCACACACACCTTCTCTGTTCCTGCATGTAGTAATGGGCCATTGATATAAGGGCTTTTCATTTTCAGTTTTTCCTCATATGGCGGTTTTTTTTTTTTTTTATTATTGGCTAGTGTTTTGGACGAAGGATGCATGTGCGCCTAATTCATTTATTTATTTATTTAAATTTTTGTGTGTGTGGGCAATGAATCGTGGTCTCCGCATATACATCCATGCATGTATGGTGCTCTCTCTCTCTCTCTCTCTCTCTCTCTCCACATATATATATATATGTCTGTGTATTGCTATGCAGGTTATGCAAACATGTTATTGTGGCTTTTTTTCTTTTTTCTTCTTTTTTTCTTTTGTTTTTATGCACGTTGTTGGTAAAAATTTTTTCTTTGGGGGTTTGGTGTAGAAAGAGAAGGGGTGTATAAAGTAGGAACAGGCGTTGCAGTGTGATTGCGGTGCCTGTTTTTTGCTTCTTTTTTTTTTTTTGTGTGTGTGTGTGTGTTCTGGTGTTATTCAAATATATAAATATATATATATATATTGGGGTATTTTTTTTTTTATTTTGTTTGTGTCTTCCTGCAGAAATGAAAGAGGAGGACGCGGCACCACTTCAGCCCCTTCAAGAGCCTCACTCGGCGTGGAAGAGGGCCCTCGATTTAAAATCGCTGAACACCGGCAGGCAGAGGCTTCCAGGCGCCCCCAACGGCAAGACCCTCGTGGGTTGGACCACAGAAACTTTGCCGCCTGGTGGCGAAAAAGACGCCGCCGCGAGTGGTGGCCGTGGGGGAAATGTACCGCGTGGTACGTTGGGCGGGACGCATGCGACGGATGTCCAGCAGAGTGCGTTGGAGTTTCTTCAAGAAATGTACGGCATGAAGCCGTTAGATGCCCCCGTCATTTCCAAAGGGATCCATGCCTCGGAGCGCCAGAAGAGGTGGGGTGGGCCGGTGCTGTTTCAACCGTCCAGGCTTACAAACAATCAAAGTCCTACAAAAAGGGAAAGCGCGGTACTGCGAAGGGTCAAATCACACCACGGAACCGGGGCTATCAGGGACCCTCTTCTGCGGCGTTTGTCCAGCCGAAGGACTCTCTCCCAGGATCATTTGGGTACGATCGTGGATCATATTTTTCAAGGATACATGCAGACGAATTTGAGGGCTAAAAAACCGCTGCTGGCACCTGTCACGAAGGCCGAGACAGATGATTCCGTCTCTCTGTTTGTGAGCAATGCTCTGGACAGTTTTTTGGTCAGAGAGGCCTCCTTCTCGCTCCGAGATGCTCAGTCTATGAATTCGTTTCTTACCTTAGGTGGAGACTGCAACTTTTCGAAGCTGCTCTCCTTCCAAGGGCAAAGCCAATTTTTGGACGATGACGATCCGAGTGAGTTACTTACGAAACCGGTCTTTGAGGGAAGAATGGCATTGTTTGCCCCTGTGGAATCGCAGGCTGAAGTCAGTGTGAGCGGGCCACTGCCGGAGGGGTCATTGGCTTTTGTAGCGGGAGTGGAGGCTCCCTGCCCCTCTCCTGTTAGTCTGCAGTCTACACTGGAAACCGAAACCCCACCGGTGGCTACGCGAGGAGCCAAACGAACTACAGGACAGCCGTGCTTGAACTTTTCGCGAGAGATGTCACTTAACTCCGATCAAATCCAAGTAAAACCTCCTGACATTTTGAGAAACAATAAGACTGGAGATGTGCATACGAATATTCCGAAAAACGAGGGGGATAATGAGACCAACCCAGAAAATTGTGTATTTCCAACGTCTTCCGGTGCATGCTTACTTCCTTGCTACTCGAATGCAATAAAGTTTGGTCATTTAGTGGCGCCCAGGAATAAAGGGATTGAGCAGCTCATTTCTGACGAGGACTTGAAGCGAAGTGTGCTGGTGGCGGTGGAGCAACGATTCCACAAATATCTTTGCGCACTGGAAATGGATGAAGCGACGGAGATCAGTAATGCCAATACGAGGGGAAATAATAATGTTAACACCGCGAATCCCAACAAACAACCGGTGGTTATTGCTGTCGCTGCACCTCAGCCAATGGTACAAAATCTCCTTGATTTTTTTGGTAAATAACAGTGGGCGGTTGTGGCCATTGAAGAGAGAAGAAAGAATTAAAACGGAAGGAGAGAGAGAGAGAAAAAAAAAAAAAAAAGAAAGGGATAACTGATGTAAAGAGGATAGTAGTTAGACACACAAATAATCTGCCTATATATATATATATATATATATTATATTATATTATATATGATTTACTGACGGCAGTGCATTCTTCTGTCTCTAACCAGTCTGCCGTTTACTTTTCTTCTTCTTTACATCCTTTTTATTATTATTATTTATTTTTCTTTATTGTGCTCATTTTTTAAATTTCTATTAAATATATAAAAAGAGTGTATGCGTGTGTGTGTATGTGCGTGCTTTTCACGCCTTTCCGCACATGCTTCTTTTTTTTTTTTTTTTCGTTTATTGTCGGTTTGTGTATACCGTGGGTGATATGTCATTTGTTACTTTAGGCGTTGTGTGCATCCAACTAAATGCACGCACACCGTGTCTATGTGCCATTGGTAGCATTTATATATAAATAAATATTTATTTATTTATGTATGTATATGTGTATATATCTATCTAATATATATATATGTGCCTTTTATTTTATCTGCATTTTTATTTGTGGTTTTTTGCGTGTCTTTGCGGAGCCTTTTTTGTTTTTGTTTTGTTTTGTTTGTTTCTGCTCCCCACGCATTACCAATGAGCCTGCAGGGGACAGTGCGATTATCGTCCTCTGAAGTAAATATATATTTTTTTTTTGTGTGTCAGTTTGTGTCTGTCTGTCTGTGTGGGAATAAGGCGCATGCCTGCTGCTTTTCGCAGGAGGGTTGGCTTTGCAGCATGGCACAATATGTCGTCATTGGCAACATGCCGGCAGAAGCGGTGGGGCGGCGGTGTTATTTGGGGGAGGAGGAGGCGGAGGAGGAGGAGCAAACACTCGCGAAGGAAATGAAATGAACTGAAATTATTTTCTGTCAGAAAAGCAAAATGATCGGTCGTACGGAGCGAGTGAGGCGGGAACAAAGTGCGTGTGTGCGTGTGTACGTGTGGGTTCATGGCTTTTTATTTTTATTTTCATTTTTTATTGTACGGCAGAGCCGGCCGCGTGTGTGTTGTGTCTTCTGCCGTGTTCAGGGAGTTGAATTGTGTCCGCGGGGTGGCGGAGGACCTTCCGCACAGAGAGAAAGAGAGAAGAGTTATTTCGCATTCATACCGTTTTCCCCCCTCTCACGAGTTGCTGCTGCTGCGGTAAACTTCCGGTGCATGTCAACAGCAGCAAGACCGTGTTTTTATTTATTTCTGGCGGAGGTGGAAGGAAAACGAGGCGTGGAGGGGGTATCGTGTCACACTACTTCTGAATGGCTTGTGGCCGCAAATTGTGTTGGATGATTTGCCTCCCGTTGACAATTGAAGGCCTCTGCGCTGCAAGAACAGACCTTAACAACTTCCTTTTTTAATTATTATTTTTTATTTAATGCGTCTCAGTACCAGAAGGGAACACACACGGAGGCTTGTGGTTCATAATATACACCACCATCGTTGACGGACAAACTTCTAAAGCCCCTGCAGGATGTGAAGGGGATTTCAACCCGTTCATTTATTAATCTTCCTTTGGGGAAATAAGCGATTGAGGCTTGTGCTGTAGAAGAGTCATATATACATATATACATAAACATATGCATCTTTTTTTCTGTCAAGGAAGCCATCATGGAAGGAAACACATGAATGGCCTTTTTGCTCTGCCGGCACGCCGTCTGAAGGCACGAGGGGTTTACCTGCAACGTCGTAGAATTAATGCTGGCGTGGAAGTCACAGTACGGAGGCATGTTCAAGAATGCAGGACCAACAAAGGGCTATGCATGTACGGTACTGGGGGAAAAATACCTTTTGTTGTTTCTCTGTGCTCAACGGTTATGGCCCATTGGGTCAGTGACGTGGTGTGTGGAGTGCGGGTTGGTGGCATAAAGGCCGCGCAGAGAAGAGAGACATCCACGCATCAAAGTTGCCCACGCGGCAATTGCAATTGTTGTCAGGCGGGTGTGCTTTGGAGGGGGTGGATGGAATGATGTCGCACGCCTCTTTGTGTAAGTTTTTTTTTGTCCCCACCGCCCGGGCCATTGTGAGCGGCGTGCACTGGCCGCCGCAGGCATCAAAGCACGCAATGTGGCGTCTGAAGGATATGCAAAGAAAGAGGCAGAGGAATTGACTGTTAATTTGGCAAACGGACACATGTGAACTCCCCTTCTCGAACTCTGAAGCCACATACATGGGGCTTCTGCTCAAAGTTTGTGACACCGACGGCAATGGGAAGAATGTGCGGGGACGCTGCTTGGGTAACTCAGAGGTGACATCGACTGGAGATGTTTTTATGATGGACAAAACTTTGGCGTCTCCTCAGGGGTTTATGTCAGCATACCTGCCTTAATACGTTGCCTTTTTTTCTTGAAATCAACGCGCCAAGACTGTGGATGTCAGTTACAACAACGTTTCAACGTCCATGTAGGCCAATAAAAAAGAAGAAACAGAAGCAAAGAACTGCACAGCTGCATTGTAGACTTGCGGTTAGGATGGCTGAGCATGAGATACACAATGGGTATCACCATGAAAGCTTTTTGCCTCCCGAGTAGTGCAAAGGATGCGATTTTTTGCCTTCAGCATAACGGTTGCAGAAACGTTTTATTTTGTAAAGGATGGAACGCCACTTCACCACGCAAAGCACAGACCTTATATTTCCCTTCAATGATGTCTGCAAATACCAATCATACGTGTGGGGATGGGTGGCTTGCAACTGCCGCTGCGGATGTCTGTATTTATTCATGTAGCGCATTCGGCGATGTCCAATAAGTCGTGACGACCGCTGGGCTTTTCAATTGACTTCACACCTGCATATATATATATATAGGTGGATGTGAATTTATTTTATTTATTTATTTGTTTTTTTTGATGCTTGATCTTCTCTTTCATCTTTTTTTTCTTTGTTTCTCTTTTGGAATGTAAATGAAACACAAACACACAAATACACACACAAAAGAAGGGGGGTTGCACGCATGTCGATTGATGCCTCACTATTTTTTTCGCGAGAGGAACCTGCGCCTTGGCCTCAGCTGAGCGGGCATGGCTGCTTTATTCGGGGGGCGCGACACAGCGGAAAGACGTCTTTTGCCTTCCAAGCAGCTGTGAACACCGCGCAAGACGGAGGTCGGGTGGTGGTACTGTGCCGGGAGCACGTCCTCTATGTGAAAATGCCACAGCCATTCACTCCACTGGGTAGCCTTGACGAGGACGCGCTTCTTCGCATTGAGTTTATGTACGTTGATAGTTTTCCCGATGCTTTCCGCGAGGTTGGCGCATGGAGTACACCGGATGATGTTCCTGCACTGCTGCTTTTTGACGACGACAGCTTTACCGACGCGGGGGACACTCGTCGGACGGCACAGGTGCTTTCGGCCCTGGAGAATGTGCATGCGTGGATAACACGTTGTGGTCGATGCTTCCATTATGTCTTTGTTTCCAACAGTTTTCCAGAAATTTGGCAGGGGGCTGAGCTTCCCTTTGCCGCCTTCCCGCTCGTCTGCTTTCTCTTTGGATCGACCGGCTCTGTCTCGGTGCAGACGACAGTGGGAGACATGTCGGAGCCCAAACCTCTGCGGTTGTCGTGGCATAACGGGCTTTGTATGGAGAAGTGAAGTTTTGGGGATGCTGCAATCGTGGGCATTTATTTTATTTTTATTTTTTCCCTCCGCCAGAGTTAATCCGACGCACCGGGTGTGCTCGCTGGGCCATGAAGGAGCGAGAAGGACATGCCGCGCGGGTTGTGGAGTTCCCGCTGGCGCCGTTTTCCGTTTTTTCCCATTTTGTGTTTTTTTTTTTTGCTTTGAAAACCGGCGGTGGTGGTTTTGCCGCATTCAGAGGGGAGTTTGTTGTTGAAGGACGATGTGCCATTTATTGAGTTTTACCGTGCCTTCATTTGTGTCACTGCGCATGTGTGTGTCTGTTGGGCTCCTTTTTTCTTTTTTTTTTTTTTTCCCCTGTTGATCCGCACGCCTTTTCTGTTCGGGCCCTTTTTTATTGCTGCCTTTCTTTTTGTGCTCGCGAGCATTCTGTAGAGAAAACCAGGGCAAGTGTCATGGGGCTCGGCTTCTTCTGCGGCTCTGGAAAAATCCGGCATAAGTATACCAGTGAAGAAGCCGAGGGTGAATTGGACTTGAAACAGGGACGGCGGCGTGCATGGCGGAAGAGTAAATTTAAATTTGGAGGTCCGAGTCAAAGCGGCGATGCATTTCCTTTGCTACAAAAAGGCGACTGCTTCTACGTGGAGAATGGCAAGCGTTGGCTTATTTACAATGACACGTTGGACCGGGAGATGCACGTCACGATGCATTTTGACGCGGATGCTTATGTTTTTGCATGCGAGCGCACTCAACTTTCACGAGAGCCGAGCGGATGGGTAGCTAAAATTGTTGCCTACCCTCTCGAGACGGTGCCGTTTGTTTTTTTTGACTCACGTCATGTGGTTTACAGTGAAATGGAGACAGTGCCACAGCCACTGACGGAAGCGTACCTGCAGAAAGTCAATACCGCGGCAGTGGCGAGGCTGCAGCAAGAAAAAGAGGAGCTGATGGGGATTGCCTCACGCTGCTGTGCGGAGGAGGAGATTCTGCGCATCTGTCGCCGCAAGGGAGTCATGTACGTTGACTTGAGTTTTTTTCCGGGCCCAGGATCGTTGGAGGGTACACAGGACGTGGATATTGTCATGGACGCGGCGGAGATCACATGGAAGCGGGCCACAGACTACATTCCGCATGAGCGTCACGATGAAATTCAGCTTTTTCGCGGTCGTATTGATCCAAAGGACGTTGATCAAGGTCAGCTGGGGAATAGTTGGTTAATGGGGGCGTTAAGTGCTCTTGCACGTTATCCTTCTCTTGTGAAGGGACTATTTTGTTCTCCCATCGCATCTCGGAAGACGCGAAAGGAACAAAAATATGGTGCCTACCGTGTTACACTCAATAAACACGGCTGGTGGGAAAATGTCATTGTCGACAGTTATCTCCCAACGATTGGCTGCCAACCCGTTTTTGGCAGGTGTGCAAATGATCCATGTAGATTGTGGGTGTCGCTTGTTGAAAAGGCGTACGCGAAAGTTCACGGCTCATATGCAGCCATTAAAGAAGGCGACTCGTTGTCTGCGCTGCGGGACCTCACAGGGTTTCCGTTTTTTTCTTTTGCTGATAGTTGGGTTGCAGCCGTGGCAAGCGCCGAGGCCGCCTCCGCATTCTTTAAGTCGCTTCAGTCCTACAAAAAGAAGGGCTACTTGATCACTCTTAGCACCCCTGTCATTGAAATTGGTGCATACACTAATATATATGAAATGTCTGGAGAAGTTGATAACGGTATGAAGGAGCACTACAGGAGCTTAGGGCTGGAGCTGGGTAGCCTCTACTCCGTCGTGGATGTTCGACGCTTCAGGTTTCCGGATGTTCTGCTCATGAAGATTCGAGGTGTGTGTGGGGGATGCGGCCTGAAATGGACGGGTGCGTGGAGTGAAGCAAGTGGAAAATGGAAGAGACATCCAATTGTCCGCCTTTCGTGTCAACCCGGCAAAAACGACGATGGAACATTTTGGATGGAGTGGAGTGACATTTCGCGGTTCTTTTCCTCCGGGGGTGTCTGCATGGTGCGGAGGAAATGGTTTGACTACCGCATCCGCGGTTTCTTTCAAGGCCCCACGCCGAATTTTTTCCTTGAGGTGGTGGCGAAGCGAGAAGTGGACGCATTTTTGACGCTCTCGCAGCGCGATAACCGCGGCCTACCGGGGGAGGACCCCGACGCGCTCTACAAGGGCCTTCTCATCAGCGTCTCCCGCTACCACTCGGAGACGGACACACACGTGCTGCACGCCAACAGCACGCTTGACCCGGAGGCACCGTCGCAAGACGCCTGCAGTTTTTACTTCACCCGAGATGTGGGCATGTGGGTGAGGTTTCTGCCAGAGCACTCACCGTATTACGTCTTCCCGCGTGTCGGGGAAAATTCAGCGGAATCGATGAAGGCCTTCACGTTGGGGCTTCTCTCGCGGCGGAAAGTGGGAAAAGGCGGGCTGCATGTGAATTTTAGGCGGTTGTCGACGTCAGAAAAGCCACTGGAGATCGGAATGCAGGCCGCATTGCACGCCGCACAACCGCAGCGTATGAGTTTTCAATACAAAAAACCCAAACGACCCGCTGTGCTCCGTGAGGGTGTGTCCATACAAGACTCGAAGAAAGTAACGTAGGAAAATTAGAAAAAAAAAGAGAGATGGAGGAAGAGGGGAAAAAAAAAAATAAATAAAAATGGTAATAAATAAAAAGAAATAATAATTAAGACGCTATTACCGAAATTTTTTTTTTTCTCTTTCCATTCTATTTATTAGGCAATCACGCTAACGATGGTATTAACCGTTATCTTTGTGGGCTCACCACACGATTTTATGGACTTGGTTATATTTGTGTGTCCTTTTCTTTTTTTTTAGGGGGTTGTATGGGGGGGTTCTTGTTTCTTTCCACGTGGCTATATTGAACAAATGGGCGTTGGAAAGATTGAAAGAAGGTACGGGGGATGGCCTTGACGTTGGCCAAAAAGACTTATACCAAGCCGTGTATCTTACAGCTAGAGGGACTGCATGCATTTTGCCTTTTTTTGTTTTTTCCTACGTACTATTACTTCCAATTCTGTACGTATGCGGGAAGAGTGTGTGGCCCAACGGTGCTAGGAAAGAAAAAGAATGCGTGCTTTGTTTAATCAATCTATTTGTTCTCCGGGGAATAAAATCATCGTTTTTTATTTTGATTCTTTTCTTCAGAAATACCGCGCTGGGGTGGCAGTGAGTAAAACTTCTCTTTTCGTTTCCCCCACCCCCTTTCCACCCGGCCCACCCTCTTTTTTTGTGCTTCACGCGGAGGGGCCCTGCAACCACCGGACACTTTTAAAAACGCTGCCACCTCGTGGGCTCGCGATGTGCCCGGTTGTGGTGGATGGATGTATGAGCCCGTTGGTCCACTGCTCTGTGTGTGTGTGTGTGTGGCTGTGCTGGACAGGTGTCGCTTGAGGCGTGAGGGGATGTTGGGTGCATTGAGCCCGACTGTTTGCCTTCTCTTGTTGTCTGCTCGCACTTTCTGCAGGAAGGAAGGAAGAAGGGGACCGTGCCTCATCCGGCTGCACATTCACTGTTTTTACTGCCTGCCGGCTTTTCTCCCTCTTTTTTTTTTTCTGCCTATTTCCCCGTAATGTGCCAGTCATTTTTTTATGTGTGTTTTTTAGTTCAAATTGTTGAGTTGAGCGTATGTTTTGTTTTTTGGTACGCGGGTGTGTGTGGGAGGAGAAGGGCGTTTCTGCGAGAATTACAGGAGGAGTTTTAATCAAAATTAACCGCAATTTCTTTTATTTTTATTTTTAATGTTTCCGCCTACAGTCTTGGGGTGTCTCTTTCTTTCTTTTTTCTTTTTTTTTTTTTTGGTTTAGCGACGCAGGGGTTACGAGGGGTGGATGTTTATTTAGCGTGAAGGCGTGCCAGTTTGTGCGGTATCGATGCGATTTGTTTTTTTTGTTTTTTTTTTTGTTTCTGTGGAAATGAAATCTCTTGTCTTCATTCCACACCTGTTTTTTTTTCTTTTTAAATTTTTTAAATTTTTTTAATTTTTTGTTTGTTTGTTTGTTTGTGTGCATAAATGCATGCAGTTAATGTACGTCTATGCATGCGTTCTTGTTTTTTATTTTTTGTCTTTTATGGCGCCCTATACGCCGGTTTGTCTCCAATAAACATGCGTGCCCCCTTCTACCCCCGTCTTTATTTGTATGGTTGCATGCCTGCAATAAAAAAAAAAAAAAAAAAGGAACGAATTATTGTTTATATTTTTTTTTTTTGTTACAAATCCGAGTTATTACAAATTGAAAACCAAAAACAAAAACAAAAGATAATATTATTGCTGTTTAACAAGAGAAACGGTGAATTTTGGCGATTACTAAGCGTTAGTCGACAAATAAATTAAAAGGGGTAGAAAAAAACAGGGAAAAAAGGAAAAAGACCGCACGTTGAGGAAAGAAGGTGCAGGCGGTTATTATCACAAAGTGTGGGAATTAATTTAAAAGATAAAACAAACAAACAAACAAACAAAAACAAGAAGAAGAAGGAGGAGGAGGAGGAACAGAGGAATTTGAAACGATGGGCTGCTGCGCTTCGAAGGAAAAGCAACCGAGGCCGGAGGCCGCTGCGGGGCCCACCGCGAAGCCCGCTGCCGCCACCAAAGGGGACACGTCAAAGGCTCCCGCCCAGGCGCCCACGGAGAATGTTGTGAAGGTCGAGGGGGTGGTCCAGAAACGGGCAACTGTGCCGGAGGAGGTGCTGGAGCGATTAAGGCGAGTGATGGAGGCACGGCAGGCAACCTACAAGTATGGAAAGTGCACCGTGGAGGGTGGCGAGGGCTCCTCCTTTTTTCCTCCCCGAGGACTCTGCCACCTCATTAAGAAGGGCGACACATGGTTCCTACATAACGACACCATGAATTATGAGATGCATGTGAATTGCAAATTTAGCCCGGACTCCAGCGTCATTCCTCTCGGCTCCTCCATAAAAAAAGATGAGGAGGACGGCTCGGCTATTGTCTCTGCTGTGGTGTATCCCCTTGATACGGTTGAGTTCTTGTGTGGGGAAAAGGGAATGTACAGGTCGGATGTATTTGCGCAGGCACTCTCAGAGGAGTACCGGCAGGGCCTTCAGGTCCTCACCCAAGCTGCCACGGAGGAGCTGCAAAGAGTTATAGAATTGGCAGACGGCTCGGTTGACGAAGAAGGAATACTTTGTAAATGTATTGAAACAAGCACCCCTTATGTGGATCTGACCTTTCAGCCCTCTGAAAAGATGCTTTACCGCCCCGATGTAGATGGCCGGCCCATTGCAGCGGTGGAGATCAGAAGGTCAACGGAATGTCACGGTGTAAACCGGAGAAAAGTTGATGCCATTTGTGGCACTGTCATTCCGCAGTGCATTGATCCTGGTCATTTGTGTGATAATTGGCTTATGTGTGCGGTGGCTGCCTTGGCAGAGGATGAGGAGCGTGTAAAGGAGATGTTTGCGCTTTGTAAACCAGAAGAAACGCACCTCGGTGCATATCGTGTTTCTCTCAACAAGAACGGGTGGTGGAAGAATGTTCTGTTAGACGATTTTTTGCCCACTGTTAATGAAGTTCCATGTTTTGCACGTGTGCTGGACGATCCATCGGAGTTGTGGGTGTCACTATTACAAAAGGCGTACGCCAAATTGCACGGATCGTACTCCAGCATCACGGGCGGGGATGCCTCACATGCCCTACGGGACTTCACAGGCGCTCCATCGTACCGTTTTGATGAGGCGTGGGTGAACGCCACCAAGGGGTATGGGGGTGTTAATGAGCTGCTGGGCAAACTCACTCGCTACCTGGAGGCTGGTAACATTGTTCTTTTGAACACACCCGCGGGGAAGAGCACCAAGCAGAATGCAAAGCCCGGCTTGAGGGACGGTTACACGTACTGCCTGAAGGAGGTACGTCAGTTCCAAAATTTTGGCATTACGATGCTAAAAATTCAAAACCCGTGGGAGCCGACGGAGCCGTGGACAGGGGCATGGTGTGCGGGCAGCAGCGACTGGGACCAGTACGAGGAGGTGCGTCTTGTCTGTAATCCGGACTTTTCTATAAACGATGGGTCCTTCTGGATGGAGTGGAGCGACGCCACCAAGCAGTTTGACGGATGCAGCGTCGTATTGCTGTCACGAGATCCGGTGTATGACTACCGCGTGCGTGGTGAATTCAGTTACGTGGAACCCAATGTTGTCCTGATGGTGCGTGCCGCCGAGCCCGTGGAGGTGATGCTCACTCTCACGCAGTTGGATAAGCGAGGTGTGCCTTTGGATATGCCGGATGCGCGGCACTCCCCGTTGATGATCAGCGTCTCACGTGCCGAGGGCAATAAGCAGCTGGTGCACAAGAACAGCTCGGGTGATCCGGAGTCACCTAGCGATGCGTTCACGTTTGTCGTTTCTCGCGAAGTTGCCATGAATTACAAATTTGAGCCGAGCGAAGGGCCGTACTTTGTGCTTCCCCGCATTCACCGCAAGGGAACATCGGAGGGACGGCAGAAGGAGTTTGTTATCGGCATTCGTTCCTCCACGCCGCTGGACGGGAAGCTCGACATTCAGTTCACGAAACTCAGCGCCACCAACCCCGCGCTGCACAACCGCGTGTTGTTTGTCGTGGAGGACGCAGGCGAAGTCATTCGGCCGCTGCAGAAGAAAATGCCGGGAGAGGCGGCAGTGACAAGCGCCGGGAGTAAGTTGTCCACAGCGATGATCCCTGAGAAGCAGGAAGAAGAAGAAGAAGAAAAGGAAGAGGAGGAGGAGGAACGGGAACAACAAGAACAACAAGAAGAAGAACTGCAGGAGGAAGAAAGGGAGGAAGAAGAAGGAGGAAATGATGTCGAGAGGAAACTCTCGCGACACGACGAGTACCCGCAGGAAGAAAGCCCAAAGAAGGCGCATGTGAACGGCATCGTGGACGCCAACGGCGTGGCGGATGACATCGCCGTTAAAATGAACGGCCACGCGGAGTAAATTGACGGCACGAACTCAAAAAAAAAAAAAAAAGGAAAAAAAGAAAGCGTGCGTATGGGAGAGAGAGGCGACGGGCTGCTGAACGAAGCAACAACGAAGAAGAAGAAGAAAAAAAGGAAACAAACAAACAAAAAAAAAAGAGAAAAAACGGAACAGGAGGGAGATGGGCGGAATAAAAAAAAAAAAAGGGGGAAACAAGACAACCCCGAAAAAGAAAGAACAACAACAACAACAAACAAACAAACAAACAAAAGGGAGTAAATATGTAGCAAAAAGAAGGAGAAATGAGGTGCGGAGGGGAGCAACACGGACGGGGAGAGCCCACTTGGACGCTTTTCACCGCGCATCAACACACCCGCGTCTTTTGAGTTCTCGGGACGTGCACGACGAAGAGAGTGTCTGCGTCTGTGCTTTTTTTTTTTTTTTTTGTGTGTGTGTGTGTGTGTGTGTGTCTGCGCTGCACGGTGCCAAGTAGGAGCAAGTGGGACGGGGGGAGAATGGAAGAAACAATTAGAAATAAAAACGAGGATGTGAATGAAGCGGGGTAAAGGAACCGAAACACGCAGGCAAAATAATAAAAAAATAATAAATAAAAAAAAAAAATAAGAATAAAAAAAAATTATGCGGGGAGAGGAGGGTGCTGGCTGCCGGCAAGTAGGAAGGAAATAAAAACATTTTAGGGAAAGGCATACGCACAGGTGTGGGGATGTACATGCGGCAGCAAATACGCACCCTCTTCTTTCCAAAAAGAAAGGAAAAATCAAAAAAAAAAATAAAAATCAGAAAATCATAGAAAGGGCTCAAAACACACAAACAAACAAAAATATATATATGTTGAATATTTTGTGCAGGGTTTTTATTGGGATGGATACATCAGGCATGAAGTGAAAAGGAGAAAACGGTCACTGTACAGATGGCCGTGGCTTTCTCTTCCATAATCCTTCTGTTTCCTACAGGCAGCAGAGTGGAGATGGGGAGAAGAGGGAAAAGGGGATGATCTTTTTTTTTGTTTTTGTTTCTTTCATTTTTTTTTTTTTTTTTTTTTTTTTTTGTGTGTGTCCTCTTAGGGAATTCGCATCTTGGCCTTTGTTGGGGTGCGAATACTTTTTTTAACTGAAAAGACACCAATTGGTACGCGGAGGGTGTCGACGGACGGAGAGGACTGGGAGTGGGGGGGGGGAGAAATGGAGAGAAAGGAAGGGAGGGAGACAAGATGGTGGCGCCGCTGGTGGGGTCGGTGGAAACAAAAAAGAATGTGCTTCTATGCTTCTGTATGCTTCTGTAGGTATTTGTGTGTGTATGTGTGTGGGTGGGTGCATATTTTATTTACACGTGCGTGTTGAAGTTTTGTTAAAAGTTCTTTTCTTTTTTTTTTTTTTTTTCAATTTTTTTTTTAATTTTTTTTTTTTTGAGCTTCTCACAGCCACCAACTTTGCGTCTGCAACTTACCGATGCCGGCACGAGACTGTGGCTGTGAGGAGGGGCGGAGGGGGGAGGGTGATATGTGCGGGTCATTGTCGTTTCTTCTCTCTCTCCCTCTCCCTCTTTATCCACACATACATGCAGACATACAGAAGCATATACACACATACGTCAAGACATAAATGTTTGATTCACTTTTGGTGCTTTTTCTCTCTCTCTCTTATTTTCCTCTCTGTAATTATTGAAAGTTGTGACTTGTATGCCTTTATTTTATGTAATTTTTTTCTTTTTAATTTTCCCTCTTTTTTTTTTTTTTTTCTTCTCCTTCTCCTTCTCTTTTTTTTTTTTTTTTTTGTCACGTTCCTTAGCACTGATGTATTTTTGTTTATGTATATAACTGTACCGTGATTGTGTGTGCTTGCGTCCCCTCCTTCATCTTTATTTTTCTCTTTATTTTTATTATTATTATTATTATTATAAATTTTGCGCCATTTGTGTGCGTGTGTGTGTGTGTTTTTAGCCGTTGTTTTTTTATTTATTTTTTATCTGCCTTCATGAACTTCTCTTTTTTTTACGCGTGGTGTTTCCTCCTATTATCGATTAGTGACGATTATGGCAAATGGGCCTTGCGTATTGGCACGGGCTGCCAGGATGCTTTCAGGAGCGGCACAACGGGCTCAGCCGCATTGACGCCACGGCGCGAGGCGGTTAACTGGAGAATTGCCGGCGCTTAACGTGCGTGGGAATTTGTACCGAGGGGGATGCGCACACAAAACTTCTTACATTGAACACATGTCTGCGGAAAAGGACTTATTACTTTGCCAGCAGGGTTCAAGTAGGGGGTTACATGAGGGTATTGTTACCGAAGGGGATTGTGGACAGTACGGGTTAACCCCGGTGGCTTGGAGGCGTCATTAATATTTTGAATGAACCCAGCGTGCTTCTCTTGTGCTGTGGTCATGTACACAAGGGCCACGTGGCCACAAGGGCTGTTATGACCTTTTTTTCTTCTCCCCCCCGCTTACAAAAGTACAATAAAGCGGCTTTTTTTTTTTTTTTTAAAGGAGGCACTGAGGCAGAGCTCGTATGGCCGGGTGCTCTTTATGCACGGCGGGCGGAGGATGAACGTGTTGTTGATACATTTTGGACACAATAAATATATTGGCATTGAATTACAAATTATTTATTTATTTATTTTTTTTGCAGCAGGGCATGTGTGAAGTCTTGGGGAGTTTGATGTACTTTTCTGAGATTATGTTGGCTTTTTTTACTTCTTTTTTTACTTTTTTTTTTTATTTTCCTTTTTTGTTGTTTGTGTGTGTTTGGCATGCGGAGCTGGTTAAAAGTTATTTATTGCGTGGCTGTTGGTGCCATAAAATAACACACACGGGCCCACACGGCACATAATATACAAAAAACAAAAAAAAAGGAGTGAGAGAAGATAGTCATTAACTTTACCAACGTCTGTGAGAAGGTGATTGTGCATGCGTCGTCCTCACCACACCGCGGCGTCTCTTTCGCCAGAGGACAATGGAGCGAAGCTTGACAGTCTCCTGGACGGTGACTGGTCGCCCGTCCCCCTCTCCACTATGCCTTCCATCCATTTCTCCGAATATTCTCATCCCACTAACGGTGACTGGTCGAATGGCGTTTCAAACGTCGGCGACAGTTGCAATCCTCTCACCCCACAGGAAATGGTTCAAAATAGACTGTCTTGCCCGCGAGTTCGTGATGCGGGTGGGGGAGATGCGGCGAGTGTAAACAACGGCGGTATACACACGATGCCTCCGACGGACTCTTTCACGCCCACGGAAAGAGGACCGGCCTTCTCCGTCACGCGCCTTTCAGGACGGAGATCCACTCGCAGTCGGATGCGGGCTCCGCGAGTAATACAGCCGGAAGTGCCGCTGCAGTCACAGATTGTGAAGGAGCCACCGTCAACAAGGGTGAAGAACGGACTGGAGGAGTCTGGACCCGTATCGAGGCTGTTGTTCAGTCCTGTGCTGGAGAAGGAAAGGAATGTAAAGGCACCATCGTCAGAACAGCCAACAGAAGAAGATATGAGGGAGTCTTGGGAGTCCCACTCTTTTCCTGTATCAGACCTTTCCCAGCACCAGGAACCATCGTCTCTCTCTTCCATTGCTGGAAAAAACAGCAATTCGGGGAATGATGTAAACAAGCATCTTCCTTTCGTTGTGCATCGGCGATCGGGAAGAGGTTCTCTGCCGCGTCGGTCAGCAAGGCGCTCTGCGACGACCTTGTTTTCTGCCGTGGAACCTTTAGAAATGAGCGACAAAACCAACTGCGTGAGCCTACCGCCGTTAGTGGAAACATCACCCAGTAAAACACTGAAGGCCTCCGAGTGTTTCACAGCCACGAAGGGGGCTGAGGCACAAGCCATCTTGCCATCGGAGACCGACAGCGATCTCCAATTCTCTGTGTCCTTGTTAGGAAAGGCGAGTAGAGATCATTCAACGGCAATTAGCCCTTTTGATTTGTGTTGGGTGCAGCGGGCAGAATCCATGGATACCGCTACCGCTGAAACAGGGAAATCTCAGTTTAATGGCTCACTTTTTTCTTTTGCAACCAGCAACGTCTTAGGTGAGGGGAGCCGACTCAACTCCGAGACGATGGGAGGCGACGGGACAGAAAAACGGGAATGTGGACCATTACACACGGTCTCAACCAGTGACAACGATACTCGTACGGAATTGCCGAAGAATTCTGATTCTTTTGAACAGCTAAGCCAACTGGTGAAGCGTACATCTGACCCAGAGGTGCTTCATCTTATTCGCGAGCACTTTTTGCGAAACAACAGTGACCCGCAGCGACATGCCTTTGTTGTCCTCTGTGACAAACTTGCTAAAGAGATGGAAGAAAACCCAGGAGAAAAAAATGCTCGGCGAGCTGCAGTGATGGATGGGGATGAAGAAGAAGACGATAAGAGGATGAGTTCTATAGAGGACTTTGATTGTCATGATACTGAGGATGATGAGTTTGACGACGACAACATCAAGGAGTCTGTGTACCCCAAGAAAGATCCACACAGGAATTACACATTTGCCAACCCTTCCGTTCAAGGGAAGAGCACTTCGGTGTTCAGCTCCGGCATGTTGTACAAGATTTTAAGAGAGAATGGTGAATTCTTCTTTTTCAATGACACGTTGCATTATGTCATGGTGGTGCGGGTGCAGTGCCGGCTGTGGGGAGATGAGACGATCGACGAGAAGGTCGTCCAGACACAGATGGGGAATGGCGAGACGGAGCTTACACTGGCAATTCCACCGGAGGCAACTTGCTTTTTAATGAAGACTGTAAGAGATCTTCCGAGAGTTTGGGCGAAGGGCGTTGCACCGCCAAAAGACTTTGTTGCGCCTTCTGTGAAACGTAACATGCATGACGTTGATATGGGTATCAACAATGTTCGGTCAAAATTAGGGCAGTGGAGCCGTGCCGGAGACCAGAAATCCCTTTTAAAATGCTGCCTTCATAACGGTCTCAGGTTTACGGATCTTGAGTTTCGTCCATCTGCCAACTCCTTGTGTCGTCCAGATGCTGACACGGCGACATTCTCTTTTCTGACGTGGCGACGACCCGTGGACTATTTGATGCTCACAGAGGTGAGCCAAGCCCGCCTTTTTAGAAGAAATATCTCATCTCATTTGGTGCGTCAAGGCTCTTTAGGGGACCACACTGTTATTGGGGGTATTGCAGCCGTTGCCATGTTTCCTTTTCATGTCCGTTGGATGTTTCGACACCCAGTAAGCTCAGCGATTGGAAAACGCGAGCGTGAGGTCGGTGCATACCGTGTCACTCTTTGTATGGGAGGTTGGTGGACAACATTGCTGTTGGATGATTACTTTCCAGCATCGCTCAAGGCACCATTGTTTGCGAGGTGTGCGGTTGACCCACGTCGTTTGTGGGTATCTTTCTTGGAGAAGGCGTACGCCAAAGCTCTTGGGTCATATGCAGCATTGTGCGCTGCCGACGCACTTGAGGTGTTGACGGACTTTACTGGCTTCCCGTGTCGTAATTTAGATGTTTTATGGTCAGAAGCTGCAAACGACCCTGAAGCCGCAAAGGCTCTCTACAAATATATTCATAGTTGCGCCAGACGTCAGTTCCTTATTATGGTATACACTCCTTCACCCTTGAAACCCAGCTCTGCACCTTTGATGGATAACTTAATTTGCCCATCTACGCGTTTTGTGGGTTCTGGTGAGGGGGTTTCTTTCTTTTTGCCTGGTCATGTTTACTTTATCACGGAGACTCTCTACTATGAGGATTTGGATCTCCGCTTGGTGCGATTGAAGAATCCGTGGACGTGGAGTGCAGCTGGAAGGACACGCAGGCCGTTTGGGTGGAAACGTTCCAAGTGGTTTGAGCAACCAGAGAATAGTACAACCATGGGAGCCAGCAGCGTCATTTTTCAGTCAAAGGGTGAGGATGGCCGTGGGGGTGGTGATGGGAACGCGCTGAAACAAAAGGAGTTGGGAACCATGTGGTTGGAATGGTCGGAGGCTTTCCGTTCATTTGAGGGCGGTGGTGTCTGCTACACCCTTTGGAACTGGAAAGAGTACCGCATCCGAGGCCGTTTCTGTCAATGTATTCCCACCGTTGTTCTTGAGGTCCGGGTTGAACAGAAGGCGGAGTGTATTCTGACGATTTCGCAGGAAAGTAGGCTGAGGCGTCTTGGAAGTGCGAGGAAATTTCGATATGATGCGATGCTTCTTTTTGTCTCGCGTCACATGGCCGCATCGAATATGGAGTTTCTTGCGTGCACGAGCGCCGGTGACATTGAGTCTCCGAGCGAGGGTTTTACGTACACCGCGGCACGAGACGTGTCTGTGCGGTGCATCTTTGAACCCGAGCACAGCCCGTATTACGTGATCCCACGTGTGTACCATTTCAGTGATTGGGAAGAAATACCGTTTGTTCTTTCCCTTCTATGCGACACGGTGATTGGGGGGGATGATGCCCAGGTGCACTTCCGCCACTTGGACCCATCCTGTCGCGTCTTTCAAGACATGTCATCCTTCACGGTGGATGCGGAGCTCTGCCGTCCCGTCACGGCAACCTATCAGTGCCGAACTCCTGCTGGTGTTTCGGCCTACGAGGGTCAATGCATCAGACAGCAAACTTGGCGCAGTATGAGACAGATGCATCTGGATGATGGCTAATTATTTTTA